CTCACATGAAAAAGCTAGAGAGAAAAAAGTAAAAAATTTAAAAAGGAGGTCTCTCAAAAATAGAAGGGGGGGTCAATAGGGTAGAGTCTGGGAACTAAGAGGGAGAGAGGAAGAGAGGGAAGTGAGAAGAACTGGGGACTGAAGCCGACCAAATTATACTATCTGCAAGTATGAATATGTCACAAATGAATCCCATTTTTATGTATAATATAATGCATGAATCTAAAAAATACAAATGAGACCAATAGAGCAGAGAATGGCTAAGAAAGGGAGTTAGGATTGGAGGGAAAAAGAAAATTCTGAGAAATGAAATTGATCAAGTTATGTTTTGTGCAGTTATGACTATATCACAATGAATCTCATTATTATGTCTAATTATAATACACCAATAAAAAAATACATTGAAAACAAGTGACCTTCAATTTCCCCTGGCATTTCTTGTGGTTTATTTTCTGCACATTGCTGGACTGATGGAAATAACCAATAATCACTGTCAGAGAATGACCACTGTCTTTGATACATTTCCCAGCTAGGTGCAGTCACAGAGGGCTAAAATCATACCAGAACCTGATTCAATCTTAAGGTTTTTTTCTCTACTTAGTACTCATCACATTATAGGAAGAAGAAAAAAATTAAATTACTGGAAAATGCACATCATGACTGTTGCTCATTTTACCTTCCCTCGTATTGCAGCATCCTGTGATATGTGACTGTGTCTTTATGAGTCTTTCCCTTGCATGTTCAACAATTATCTTCAGACACAGTTGTGATCACTAATTATTTATTGAAGCATTTTACTGTCCCAGAAAATTAGAGGATTCATATACATCTTCCCTTGGCATTAGATGTAGAGGCCTATGTATAGCCAACCATAATGGTCTTAATCATCTGCCATACATGAACACACACCTCACATGTAGACACACACAGGTGTACAACACACTTACATGCAGATACAGATGGTTTTACCTTCTGTTGGCCCAGGATGATAATTCATCCACCATTTTCTTTGTAACTAAGGAAAGGGCCTGGTCTCCCTGTCAAAGACAATGGAAGTGTTTTAGCTCTGAACCCAGAAGATTGGTTTCTCACAGATATTGTTCTTATATGTACCCACCTTACTCACAACTCATTTCTCCCTCTGGAAGCCCTGAGGCAAAGGCCTTGCCTGGTCTCCCACTAACTCAGGGATAAAGGTGGCTACTGTTCTGTCTGCCCTCCCTGTCCCAAAAGCAGGTACAGAGGTAATTTATTATTATTACCACAGAGTCAAGAATTGGGGCTCCAATTAACTTCAAACAAACCAGCACATTCCAATTCGTCAGCATCTAGATTTTATATTTTAAACACCACAAAGTAACAAAGGAGACCACAGTCAGGGTCCAGGAAGGATTCACCTGTCCAGCATCTACTTACCCTCCTGCTTGTGTCCTGAGATTGGATAATGACTACAGAAATCTGTGCTGCAAAAACAGGTGAGGCCATCCTAGCATTCTGATCTCATCTTGAAGGATCTGGTCCTTCCTCTGAATGATTCATGGAGTAATTTAGTCAAAATGAAGCAGTCTTTTGGTTAAAAAATAATAAATATGCATTTAGACTGGTGACCAGGATTGTTCAGGGCATTAGAAGAGACACTGTGGATTGGTTTAGAGGCCACAAATTCATTCTCCTTCTGAGCCCTCCATTCCTTCAAAAAAGCAGCTGTGTAATTTTAGAGATCACACTAATCTCTAAATGAATACCATTCCCCTTTTGTACATGTCATATTGAAAGGGGAAATGGTCTCAGAATAATTTAGTCAGAATGAATTAGTTTTTGGTTAAAAGTAATAAAGTTCCATTTGTCTAAGTTGCAAGTAATCAGAATTGTTCAGGGCAGCTAGAAGAGACATGGTCAGTAGATTAGGATGAGGTCAGAGATACATCTGCTTTCTGAAGCATCCTCCCAGGAAATGTCTGCTTAATCTGAGTATAATTCAGAAATCATATTGCCCTGCAGGAGTACTTATAGCAAGTCATATCAAAGCCCTAAGGATAGTATAATGCCAAAGACCTTCTATTGATTATCACATGACAGTGCCCAGTGCCAAATGAAGAGCGTGGCAAGACATTTGTAGGATAAAGAAAGGAACACAATCATTCATCTTCAGCTAATGCTTGTATAGTTATTTCTACCTGCAAGAGAGTTTTCTAGGTAAATCCTGCTCGAACCCAGCTGGCCACTTCAGCCTAAGGTCACAAGACAACCCGGTTTTGTGTTTGTCCCTATTCTCCTCACTCCTATTCTTGACTTTGCTGATCCAGATCCTCAGCCATCATCTGATAATCCCTGGACCTGGGCTTTTAGATGGGCCTTTCAGGCCTGCCAGGTCATAACAAGTTAAGAGATGACCCTGCTCACATCACATTGGGTAAGAAGTCCTCCAGAATGTGAAGAAGAAAGGAAGCTGTTTACCTAGAGCCCCCAGTTCCAAACCATTTCCAGAACTAGTTAAGAAAGAATGACCTCAAGAGAAGAACCTAACCTTAGAAAAAGATTCACAAAGTGTGCTCTAAAATACAATGGGAAATTTTGCATTCCTCTTGTGAACTCTGTTCAGATTCTAACCTAAATCCCTCCCTCTGTGCTTGGAAAGAAGTCACCTCTACTCAGGTCTAATAAGATCTTCATATCCAGAGGCAGCAGCTGTCTGGTTTCCAATAAAGAGTTCTGCTTGGTAGATGCTCTATGAGTGTCTGTCCCATATCTATTCTCACCCATATGTTGTGAAAAAGGGTTATTTTTTTATCAGAAGGGTATAGAAGCAACAGGTCTGACTGTGGCATGGTTAGTTGCCCATTGTGAGCATCAAGCTCCAGGACCCTGAGAGCAGTGGCCACTCTAGACCAGAGGAGAAGGAGCCAGGGGCTGGGTCTCAGTTGGGAACTATCTGAAAATGGGCAATGGGGTCATTAGTAGGGTAGGATCTCTCTCTTCAGTTGTTTATGTGAGTTCCACATTGTGTTCTTGAGTATAAGTTCATAGGTGAGGCTCCTAAATATATTTAGTTGTTCCTGGAGAGCAGGGTAGATATTAAATAAAATAATGTGTGTTCATAATGTTCCTCATGATCTCACTTTAATCCACTCTTCTTGGCCCTCTGGCCTCCACTCCAAGTATATTATTCTAATCTCCTTCTCTCAAGTGTCTTGCAAACACTCAATTGTGATATCAGCTCTTTATGGTATGTTATGTTTAAATGTCCACAGATAGGTGTAAAAAAGAAAAATGTTAAGGTCTGTAAACAAGTCAGGATGGCGCCTGGCATTCTGCCAGGCGCCATCCAAACTTATTTACGAACTCTAACATTTCTCTGGCAAAATGTCAGGTGCCATCCTGACTAGTTTACAGACCTTAACAGGAAAAAGAAAAAAAAAACAGTATTTCAGGCAGGAAGCACTATTTGATGTGTTTATGTGTGAAAGTCTGACTCCATTGGGGATGGGTGTCATCACACCACAATTCAAGTCATTTACTATATCTACATAGGTAAGTGCTCTGTTCTGCCAATAAGAAGCTAGTATTTTCACTTTTCTATGAAGGAATAGTAAGTAGAAGATTTTGAAAATATAATTTTCAAAAATCATATTTAGATTTTCTAACACAGAACTCATTCTGCCACTGCATATATATTTCACATGGAAAATTCCTGTCTCCCCAACTAGGATGTAGAGAAAACAATTTTCTCTTCTTTTTTCCAGAGCCAATGGCCATAGTGTGGACCCTAGATCTCAAATACATTCATCTACTCATGGCATATTCACCCCTGATGACCATACACAATGAGGACACGGTGCCTAAGGCATACTGTGGGGCCTCACTTCCCTTCCTGAAGCAAGCAGTTGGCTCCCTGACCCCTCAGGTTAGATGCAAGGTCCATGCTTCACCTAGAGCACAGACTGCAGGGAAGGCTCAGGGAAACCTCAGTGGTTACTCAGTAACCTCTGCCTGATGTTAATTATATTTCCATTTACCATTAGAAAAAATATGTCCTTGCTTAGCTGTAAAATGATTAGGGTTGTTCCTTCTGCTTTTATTGAATGTAGAAAGGGTGAAAAACCAATGCTGCTGACCTGGAGAAGGAGTGGACCTTCTTTGAACTTTGAAGACTGCTCCTAAGTAAGCCCTTGACAGCTGGTTTGTTTGGTACTTCTGCCTAGGGATGTCTCTTGGGTTTGCAGTTCCTCTGAGAGAAGGGGAACAGAGGCCTGTAGCTCCTGAGTGTTTCCTAAGCCTACATCTAACAATCCACAGCTGCAACCTTGTCTAATGTAACTGCA